CTTAGGGTGTGTACCTCATGCAATGGTGAAGCAGAGTAAATATAAATAAACACACATGGCCATGGAGCCGCTTAACCATAAAGTTTCATTGAGTGCGCAACAATTGCAGCATCTCGGCTGTCTCATCGAACAATCCTTGCACGACGTTGGCCGCAGGGGCTGCATCACTTAAAGTGGCTCGTTGGCCAGCTTCAAGGAAAATCGTATATAAAAAATCCTCGCCATGTAGAGCTGACGTCCGAAAGAATCAGGCGGACAGATCAACTCCTGGCGAATGGGCACGCGTAGAGCTCTCTCTTAATGCACATAAGAGTTCCACATATGATTGGCAAGTACTAGTGCGAAATCAGAGTCATGGTTTCTCTATAGGAGTACTGTATACGCTGATGCAAAAGACAGGGTCCTTATGTGTATAGTGAGAAACGTATACTGAATTTTCTTTTTTAGCAAGTGATATCTGATTTTGAGTATACCACTCCTAAACTTGAGGGATCTTGGTTACGTCAACCGTGCATCACTTTAGAACTTATCCCTGCACGTTTATCAGATTTCACTGAATTCTGTCTGGAAGTTGCCAAGTTGACCTGTTGCAAACTGCCTGATAGAATTCAACTCCTTAACGATTCTGCTTCATGCAGCTCATTGTGTACGCGAAATTTTGTCGGATACGTAAGTTTCCTCTCAATACACTTTACATCTTCATATGTTTTCTGCTCATTTCAAAATCTTATCCTCAAAATTCAAGGTCTCAGCAAATCATACACCAATTTTGAGCACAGAAAGGTTGACATCGTCGGAATTAATAATCTGCAAGATACGACAATTGCAACCGGTCCCATAAATGATGATAGGCATATCCCAAAAATTTCTTTCAGATCGCACACTGAGTCGATGAGATTGGGACTTGATAAGGTAATCTCAGCATCATTGACTCGGTTTCGCTCTCAAGTATTGATTGATCTTATCTACAGTAAAATGGGCCAGTGTGGCGAATATCGTCCGACAACCTTTACGCTGGTTCGTGGCCATTTGTCCACGACGGCTTGTGAGAGAATAATTACGAAATATTATAAAAATATGATTAGCTGCTGGTCTAAAGGAGCTTTTGTTCGAATCGTTCGTAAGTATCAGTAACGATCGAATGGTGAAGTTAAGCATCCTCAGTTTAAGTACAGTTTCGTAACTTTTCAAGGCACAGAAAGAACTGCCATGACGTGCTTAACCGTTGAAAAGAAAAGGTACTAGATTAAGCTAACATCGATTAAAAGTGCATTTTCAAAGGTTAACTGAAACGATGGCACAACAGTATAGAGTGAAGATTGCGGACAATCACAGAAGCGACTCATTGGGAACGACCATCGTGCGTCTATTGCAGATTTGCCTGTCGGCGCATTCAGATTTTTTAAGTCTCCAATAAAAACGCGCCGAAGGAAAACATTGAAGTAGATGTAATTTGAATCGATCTTGGCATTCACCACTTCGTCTTGTAGGTAAAGTATCACTATTGCAGCTACAATCTAGAGGACAGTGTGCTATCAACAGTACAAAGCTAAAGTTTTGATCATGTCGACTGCTTTGTGGCCATCACCTTCATCGGTATCCTCCGGGTCACTCAGCTGTTCGTTTAGATTCCAGGTGCCGTCAGGTGTGCGCCACTTTGAAGGTAAGTTTGAGAACCTGCGCGGTCAATCGTTATTTTACTTTTCGCTGTACCCACCGTCTAAATGTGAATTGCGCGGCGTCGTGCTGTATCTGCACGGCGTGGGTGATCACTGCCGCCGTGTCATCTCTCTCTACGAGCGCTTGTGCGAAGAAGGTTTTGGCGTCATCACCTATGACTTCGTGAATCACGGTGCCAGTGGCTGTGACAGCCATAAGACGCGTGGTCACGTGCGTAGTTTTCGGCAACTCGTGGAGGACACAAATGCCTACATCACGTTTGCTAAAAATGTCATCTTTCCCCAAACTAATTATCTGGCTCCACCATTGCTAATCGCCGGCTCCTCTTTCGGATCACTTGTGGGGCTTCACGTCGTGCTCTCTTGTCAGCACAAATTCTACGCCGCGTTTTGGGCATCGCCGACGGTCGGGATGGAAATGAAAACAATTTGGAAGGTTCAGGCGGCAGTTATTCAGCCTTTGGCTCTATTTTTGCCTCGGATGCGCCTCGTACCGAGTGTTGACTACGAGCTGCTGTGGCGTGATCCCGGCACCTTAGCAGACTTCAAGACCGACCCGTTGGCAACGAAAGATGACATAACCGCAAGAACGATGCAGCAAACACTTCATGCTATGCACCGCATAATGAAAGACAAAAGCATTTTGCACGCTGGGAGTAGCTTTTGTAATTTAAGCGTACTATTTCTCGTCGGATCCGAAGACCACGTTGCGGACCAAGGCGTGACAAGAAGGTTTTACGATAAAATTGCTAACCCGGACAAAAAATTCAGGGTGTTTGATGGTGTTTTCCACAGTGTCTTTGAAGATCCTGAGAGTGAAGAAATATTTGACTACCTATGCGAGTGGCTTCGAGATCGATTTCCACAGATGCACACTAATGAGAACTAAAACATTTACATTTAAATGTCGGAACACCGAACTTTGGTCTCGTTTGCGTTGAGCAAATTTTATAGATTGTACAGCAGCTGAACATGTAGATGAACCGCAATATTTTATCATTTAAAGAATTTGGTTTTCACTGAGAGTTCAGCCACATGCCTACGCGACGCAACAACAGCAGGCACTAGACGTAATGACACAATGAGACAATGAATAAACAAAAACGCTGTGGATGTTGATCTATCGCCTTATTTACATTATAGTAATACTCAGATACACAAGGCCATCACCCGCTCGAATCGCTTCAAGTCTCTGAGTATGTCGGCAACTTTATTTCGCATTGTAGATTCTCCTGACCAGGAGATTGGTTATTAAAGCTATAGTGGTATAGTGGTTGCATGCACGGCAAAATAGTTTTAATTTACATTCTGTCCTAACGACTCGTTACGACTCGATGTGTACGCTTGTCTATGAGTATGAAAGCTAGTTGATGTTAGAAAGAGGCGCAACCGATAATATGAGCATGATTAAATCACTCTAGCCATTTCGAGTTAAGCGTAGTTAGACTTGTTAGCGTTTGAAATGAACGCGCCCCACTAAATCGCTTCACATTCGTTTGCACAAGTTTTTCATTAAGATTTAAAAGATGTTGAATGAATAGTCTTTGCCGACACTTCCTTACATTTCAACGCATCTTTCAGCATATGTATGCTAAGTCAATGTTTAATATTTTAAATATGTAACGTGGTAAGCGAGCTATTTAGTCAAAGTAGTACGACAAGGAGTTCCACTCACAGTGCACTGTCGACATTGAGGCGCTTAATGCCCGTGCAACATTGCAACATCTTGTCGACTTTAGCAGGTGTGTATGGTATTGCGAGAGTATTTGCAGTTACAAGAGGTGACGAGATCACAACACTGTACTGATCTGCTAGTATTAATACAACTCTAAGTTATGACTCATTTAGGGAGATTGCCTATTTGTCATGACTGTCTTACCACGTGAAGACGGCTGAGATCATGTTTTCGAGCGTGCTTAATGTCATGTACGCGCAATGACTATATTGGTGATGGTGCATGCACCGTAAGCCATAATCGAGATCCGTAATGATGCGGCCATAGTGGATTCTGCAACGAGCAAAATCGAGTCACTGCATCCAGCCCCGAAATTCCTCTGAGTCTACCGTCTAAAAAGGGAACATGAATCTAGTGCTTCTGAATTTGGACGTCTCTATAGAAAGTTGACGATAAAATATCATCGGGATACGTTCACCTGCTCGTAGTATGATGGCTCGACAATTATTTTTACTGGTAGAGCCAAGCAGCTTAACTCTGATTGCAATAGTCAGTGACTCTGGATCTGAATATCCGCCACTCCATCTCCACACTATATGGAGTACCGCAATGATCTCAATGCACCAGACATCCGACAAAAGAACTCGTTTAACCGCAGTCGCGTTCGATGCTATGGCTGCACTATAGTAATTCGATCAAAGTACCCACACGAATGAGGCCCAGTTTAAGCGCCAGGATAAACATAGCAGACCTCATCTTCTCTACCAAACAATGCTGGAACCAAATCATTGCGCATCGTCGCAAGCAGCACAACCTGGGTTCCTAATAAGATTACTATTGACGAGCTCTCCGGCATTCAATATTCTTCGTAATCACTCATTCGAGTTTGATATAATCTTTGCAACTCTTACACATCGATCTGTGAAGCGACATGCGTCCTCACGGACTGGATAGGGTTTCTTTGCCTTCCGGCCCGGGATGCGCGACATTAAAATTAAGCAACTCGAATGTGCTTAGGACCAACTGCACTCAACAAGATCGAATGTATCGAAATCCGGCAAATTGTCGGCTTTTTTATAAAAAGATGATTGAGAGCTCGTGGTTTGAATCTTTACACACCAGCGCCAATAAAATTGCGTGTTCACATCCATCCTGTCAACATGCGGAGAAGTAACAGCACATACTTAATCACTTTCTTGCAGCTTTTTCGAGAGTGCGCCGACCTACTTGACCTGAGACCCTAATGGACGAGAAGTTTGCAGTTGAAAACTTGGAAAGTAACGTCAGTACCTAGCTGAAGGCACCAACTATAGCAGCGATGGAAGTACATCGTCGGTCATCTGGTGCATGTATTACAAGAGCAATTTGTTTTTCGCCAAAAAGATGACTACAAATGATATCGGAGTGGAGTGCCCGACAAATTCGCTGTGCGAATTTTAAATATGCCGATGCCACTTGATGACTATTGGGGGCACCTCGTACCAACTCGAAGCCCCCAGCAACTGAGCATATTCCTCATCAGTTTGTTTACCTACTTGATACGAACATTTTTTAATTAGCGCAACATTTGTTCTGCAATGAGTTGTATTCTTCCCAGTACTTTTCCGTCCACTCCGTGTGCGAAGCATTAGCAGCGCCAACGCCTCTCACATTCTGCAGGAGCAATCCAAATATTAGATTGTCACGGCAAGCTAATCTTTGCCTGATCGAAGGCATTTCATGCATCGCGCTATTTTTAATTTTCACTGATCAGCAAGGGTTCGCCGATATTTGTCGAATTCATGACGTGCAGTTCTCCTACGATTCCGTAATCTTTGGTGTGAATACTTATCGTAATGAAGACGCTAGTCACGCCTTACTGCTGGTAGTAGATGGACAACTCTGCTGCAATGCTGTCTAAATTGATCTCTTTCTCGGCTCAATTTTTAAAAGAGAGACCCGATGGATTGATCCCACCGCAGCTCGTTGGACTCCTTAGGTAAGGCTATCATGGACCAATGAATGTTCACTAGCCGCTTTTACGGGCTCTGCTGAACTTGCAATCACGAGCAATTCCGCAGCACTCTAGTCAGTCGCTTTCTCAATGCTTGAGGCCAAAACTCAAACTGCTGTGCCAATGCAATTTAGCTTCACCGGAAGTTCTGCCTTTTAGAGTATGGATCTACCATATGGAAAATAATGCAGATTGCGCAGTCTCGAATCTCGCAGTCCTGCCGGTATACGCCTCCTAAATGCCGTTCGAGTGAATTTCCAAATGTCAACTACCGTTCCGAAAAAAGTATTCCTCAATGGGTTCTGCCAAAATCATGCTGTAAACTAGCGATCATGCCCGAGTAAATTGTAAAACTTATTGCTGCCGAAGTCTTAACACCCCTCCAGCATATTTCGTTTTCGTGACACATCGAGCTGCTAGAACTGCATCGTGGTCTTCAGTTACGACTTTAACTTCTTTTCCGTGAGAACTTGTAATTCACTGGCACAGTTGAAGGAATATCAGAGTCTTCCATGAAATATGAATCTTCTGAAGCATCACGTATCCTATGATCACATTGTTCTGGGCAGCTAATTTAGACGAAGCCAATACGATCAAGAGCCACACAGTCTTGGCCATCTTGGTCAAGATCGCGGGAAACATTGTAGCAAGTGTTTTCTTAAAGAAGCGATACCAGCGTCACAGAATCGAGGTGTCAATTCGTCAGCATGAAGTCTGGAGTGCCCATACTGTCGTAGACAATTCAACTCCTTGTATATATTTTCTCATTAGCAATTACCTTCGTTAAAAGTCTTTTGGTAAGATCACATCAAATCTTGTTGTAATGGCGCGACGGTCTCAGTCTTGTAGCTCCCACATGGCCTTGTTGCATAAATCGCTTTCGACGAATCGACGCATTTTCAAAAGTGTTTTCGATCATGTTGTCATCAGCCAGATCTCGGGCAGTTTTAAAGACAGCACCTGAGACCTTGGTCACCGAAGACGCTAAAAGTCATAATTGAGACATGTGACAGACACTATTTGTGTACTGTAGTTAACAAAAAGATTGCTTCTCAAAAAGATCACAATTTGGATAAATCCCATCACT